AGTTAATTAAACACTACAAAAACCTGATGAGAACAAAGCAAAGATAAGTACATGGAAATATGTTTCCTGTGCCTACCTGAACATACTGAGGGCGAAGAACAAAGAGAACAGGAGTGAGAGGAGAAAGAAAATAAATGAGGGAGCGGGCAAGGTAAGGTGGGGGTTTACAAACGGCTACAAAAGAAAAGACAGGCTACAGAAAAATGGCAAAAGCAGCTGTGATTGAATTAAGCTCCAATGGCAGTAACTGTTAATGTGTGTGCGTGCTAGCAGTGCCTGCAGACATCTCGACGGAAACAGAAACAGGGAGGCGTGGCGTGGACTCACCAGCTGCCTGCTGCCATTCACACCTGAGCACCTCTCCATTCTGATGAGAATTAATCTACTCCACCTCCTCTGGGACTCACACTCACACACACACAGCCTGGGAACAGCTAATGAAGAAATACAACCTTGGCAAGTGAGAGAGAGGATATTCATTCATTCATTCACTCACTCGCTTGGGTATGATCACGGTGGTCCGGGTTACATGAGCATGAGGTGTGTATGAAAGAGCACTGGACAGCAGATGAGATCATTCTAAAGGTCAAATCCTGCTTGGAAAACATCTATCTGTAACATTCAAATAAACCCCAAGACGTTAGATTTGTTTTAGCCAATCAACTGAGCATTAAATGTCATATGACTAACAGAAAAGCAAAACAAGACTAAAGAAAACAGAACAGAAAAAATGGAATGCAAATAAAAATAGAACAGAACAAAACAAAAAAAACAAAACAGAATGCAAAGCAAAACAAAACAAACTAAACAAAGCAGAACAAAAAAAACAAGCAATGCCAAGCACAGGAAAAACAACACACACACAAAATAAATAAACTAAACAGCACAACTAATTACTTTTGAGAAGGAGGAAAGTTGCATCCTGAAACCAAAGGTACCAAACACTTACTACACTTACAGTTACTACACTAGTAACTATCATAAGGACAGACAGAGAAAAATATAAGTCCATGGAAATTTTCCTTAAGTCCAGTTTGGTTCAAAGCATCAGGAAGAAAGTACTCTCACCATCTAGTCCAGTGTTTGAAACAATCCCTACACTAACTATGGGTCAATGGGCCAAATAAATTATTTGGGTCCCAAACTAATAGGTTAATCTTCCATTATAAGCTGACCAGCCCAGATGTGTTTGTAAGGCTGAGGCACAGACATGAGAAAGATCTGCACAAGCCACTTTTTGGTCACTTTAACCAACAAGCCATGACAGAAAAAAGAAAACGTAGGAAATAGTGTTGCTTTCGTCAACGAAAATTATGACTAAATATCGTCGTCAACGAACCTTTATCACGTGACGAAAACGAGACGAGACGCAACGTAAATGCTGGTCATGTGACGATGACTATAATTAAATGTATAATGCAATATTGTTGATGAATAAAAACGAGACTAAATGTGGTTTACAAAATAAAAACTATGCTAAAATGTCTCTTCATTTTCGTTGACCAAAACGAGACGAAACGAAATGTTATAACGTTATTTTGTCTCGTTTAGTCGCGTTATTATTCTTATTTTGCAGTATTTCTGTTTCCTGTGTCTCACTTCAGGGGCTGCATCAGGTCGCACTGCGCAGACGCAGGCGACA